GTAATGAAATTACATCGTCTGAGCTGACAATGCATTTCAACACCCAGACACAATTATCATGAACGCATGCATGCATTATTGCCGGTTCTGCTAATGCAATATAAGTTGTTTTCGTGGCTGATTTTGACACTGGACTGGCATTGCAGATCGCATTTTTATCCGGTACGATACATGCCTATAAACAAAACGAAACATGCCATTTCGGCTCATAAGTATCCGCACAAAACCTGCTTTCAGTGTGACATTGAGCATGCAGTACCTAGTTTCGCATGCATCAACTGCAAACTGTATTAATGCAATGCTTAAATAGGCTTACATCATGTCCACACTACGTACACATTTCGCAGCATTAGATAAGTCAAATGAAAGATACCTGTGTCATCGACTTATGAATGAACGCGAAGCTGTCAGTTGAATCGACATTCAGTGCCCTCTTCATCACATTTCGTGTCAGCTGAGTTCTGTCAACTGAGTGCAGCCCTGACGAGTAAACAAGTAAAGATGTACATAAATTTACAATGCAGATTCATGCGCCTGGCTCCGCCATGTTACGTTAATTTAGACATTGCAATCAAATGTTGAAACTGTTAACATGTCGTATGTAGTACAAACAATACAACCGCAAAACCTGGCGTCAAAATATGTGCGTAGCTCTTCCCTTGCTCATACCTCTACACGTCCAAGAAGTGTCAACACGGTCGATACACGTGCATTTTGCCAGTAATCAGGTGAGGTAAAAACGAGCTTTTTGCTTGACGGACGAACTAGAACTGAATGCCTGTCACACCTCCTTCCAGTATAACTGGTTTGAAGAAATCTGTGCGCGAACATTTTTTTTTAGTTTGGTAGCACGGTAACTATGTTGTACTTGCCCACATCCTGCTTGTGGAAGACGGCCTTTACCAGCGAGGTAGTTTGCTCGGGGTAGTAACCCCAGGTCAAGTGAAGCTCTGGCTGCTGGCTGCTCTGGCGTGCGTGGTTTCTGGCTGCCAAAAGCCTCCCTTATTATCCTTAAATTCGTCTCCGGCATGCAATCACAGATCACGTAAATGTGATCAGTTTTATGCGGAAATGTGCTGTAACCCCTCTATCAAACATTTGCCGTGTCTATTTTGGCGAGGAACGCTGGACGGTGCATTTGCTCTAAGGCCAGAGATCTTGCCCGCAGATATATTAGAACAATGCGACTGACTGGTATATGGCTGGTAATATGACTCGATGAAACCATGAGAAGTACTCGCTAGTGGCAGGTGACGTTAAATGCAGCTCAGGACAATTTTGGTTCCATTGCTCATATGTCGCAACAAAAGTCTGGCCATACAGACGATTTTGCTCCAGAATGGTGGTTATCAAGCACAAGGGCGTTTGCCATTAAGGTTTTCAAAGGTTAAATGCGGTTAATGATCTAAATGATTTTGTTTATCTCATCTTGAGCTTGCAACATACTTTGGGCTTGCAAAATGCTTTCGCACAGTTCCCGCCTGGTGACGATCCAACAGAATAACCCCAGTAACGCTGCGTGACTACGTCTCAGTTTTTTCTTCAGGGCATTCCTTATATTAAGCCATTGATTTCTTCAGTCATTTTGTCTGGCTGCCTGTCTGTAAGTCAGTTTGTCCGTCTGTCAGCTTGTCAGTTCTTGTGCCTGTCTGTCTGTCTGTCTGTGTGTCTGTGTGTGTGCCTTTCCTTCTGTCTATCCGTCTGTCTGTGTGTCTGTGTGTCTGTGTGTGTGTGTGTCCGTCTGTCTGTATATCTGCCTGTCTTTGTCTGTCCGCCTGCTTTCTTGCCAGCCATCTATCCATTTGTCTGTCTGTCTGTCTGCTTGTCCGTCTGTCTCTCTGTGTGTATGTTTTTCGATCTGTCTGTTCGTCCCTCTCTCTCTCTCCCTCTCTCTCTCTCTCTCTCCT